ATGCTAAGTCTGCAAACATAATGGCTCAATATAAAATATTTTAATATTGACATTTGTGATAACTACCAAAACTTAAAATTGGTTATATGTTACCAAAATGCCTTAACATTGGGGTAGCATTCTTTCAATTTTAAGATAATCCAATAAAATAATAACTGGGTATAAAAGAAATCACTTACATGACATAACTTCAATATATATTATACTCATCATGCTGCAATTTTTTATTTTTTACATAATATATGTGAATATTAAACACTTCTTGTTTTGGTTACATTATACAAGTGCAAAAAGACTATATACATTTACATGCAAGTAATTTTTTAAATAAATATCATAGAATAATCCAGCAAAAAGATGCATAATACTTAAATTTACATTTTTTGGACTTTTAAAAAAGAATAATGTTCTTTAGTTTAGAAATCTCAACGTAAATAATTAAAACAAATGCTTTACATTAATTTGTAACTGTTGCAATTGTTTAACAGTTTTGTAAAGCTCTGTAATAGATTCATTTACGAATTATGATTTAATCCTGCAACTAGAACTCATGGAAATAATCCTTACTCATTTCAACAGTTATGTTTATTTCACTGAGATTATTTGCATGATTAAGGATTACTCATAAAAGGAGATGAAAAAGGGTAGGACCTTAACTATATTATGATGCCTGTTTTTTAATGTAACATGCCTAAATTTGGGTCCAGTTCTGTTCTCTCTGAATGCAGACTTGTGCCAATTAAATTTTTCTGCACAACAGAATTGCATAGCAATAAAAAAATCATGTCATTGTATATCAACTTCTTTGGAGGCAACAGAAATTACCAAGTACTTTAACTAATACAACTATATTATCTCTTGATCACTATAGCAGTCCTTACTTAAAAACTTTCGAAATTCATGAAAGACTTGCCAGAGTCAGTTCCTGTATTTTTGTCAGCACCACACTCAGGGTTGTGTGAATCATCAGACTTATTAGTATCTGCAGCCAGAATTTGTAATATCCATGACTATAATTGTGATGGTATGGAACTGGATCATACGTATTTTATCAGTGCATCCAAAGGTTATCCTGAGGAACACTTATTATTCCATTTGGGTATTTTTAATCTATGGTCATTTTAGCTACCACCTAAGGTCACATGCTTTCTGTATCAGAGAAAAAATAAGACACTTATTGAATAGGCATAACATTAATTAAAGTGTTTAACTAAAGTGCTGTCCTGAAATGGGGGGCAAAATTTTCTTGTGGTGTAAACTAATTAAATTCAGGTAGATAAATCAAGCAGAGAAACTGATCATCCATTTTTAAATTAGTAAAACTCCATATTATTGCCATATGTCTTTTAATGTATATTTTAGGTATTATTTCCCCTCTTGAATTGAAAATGTAATGAAAGAAATCACTCAATTTCATTTGCAATCTTAGGTAAGCCTTATTGTTTACAAATGTTTCCTTGGATTTAAAGACATTTCTAAGTCATTTACTAGGAATGAAAAATGTAGCACAGCTTTAAGAAAAGCATGCAAGAAACACATTTATTTTTATATGAAGAGTAATGTTTCATTATTAATAGCTGAGGAATTACCAGATATAAATTATGGTGAGATTTACCTATCAAGTGTCAGGGAAAAAAAGAACCATTCAGTGTTTAAAAGTAGACATCCAAGTTATGTGAGTGTGCTGTACGGATTAGTCTTTATGACTCTTCTATCTCACTCAATGCTCACTCTGTAGATTGGTAAGTTGTCCATAATGGTCCCAATTAAAAAAAAATATGGATCTATATCTCTCTGTGTGTCTTGTGTAGTCATGCACACCTCTTATACTGAGAATCACACATTTCTCTTTTTCTTATTTACATCAATTCTACACTTACATTATATGTAATGTAAGCAAACACCACAAGGGCACATCCAAACAAGTGTGCACATGTGGTATGAGGTGCTGCAGACATGTTTGCAGTGCTGCAAACTGCAAACATTGTATGTGCAGGCGTTCACTGTGCTGCGTGGATTTTTTTGACAGTGGGAGATCCCAGTGTAAAAAAAGTGGGCTGGCACATGTGGTGGCAGCCTGCATAACTCAAAACTGGAGCTTGGCCAGCGAGAGCCATGCTTCAGGTGCCAGCCAGGCTCTGTGTGCTGGATCACCACCACTAGAGTTCTGAGAAGCCCAGAGAACGACAGGTAAGGGTAATGGGGCCAGCCCAGGTGCTGGCCCTAGCCTTTCCTACCCCACCCAGGGCAACTTGTTGTGCGCCAGAGTGCATGTGCACGAGAATTCCCCAGGGACAAGTAGCAGGGGCACAACTATGTGCCCCTGCTATTTGTCACTGGGGAAATACACATGCATGCTCATCTGGATGTGCCCCAAAAGGGCAAAACAATAGAGAATCAGTTCCTATATTTGTTATGAAATGTAACACTGAAGTTGTGACAATGCATGATCAATATAGACTCCATACAAGCCTGGGCATGTGAGTTCAAGAGTCCTGGTTAAAGATGAAAATAAATTATTCCACAATTAGTATTCTTCACTTTTCCTAATTTGTGCTATATAGTTGTTTTAAACTAACAAAAAGCTGGTGTGTTCTAACAATGAGGTACTTGCATTTCAGTGGGAGGACTGTAAAGTACTTTCTGATCAAGTGTAGTTTTTAAAAAATTTGGAGATCATCTGAGAAAGGAGCAATAAAAGGGCAAATGTTATCTGGAGTCTTAAAGCTATAACAAAAGATATGATTTTAAAGAATTGTATCTATACCTTAATACAAACTAGAATTTTTCATTTGAAAAAACAGTTCTTCATATTTACATAATTTTCAATTATACTTTTATGAAAATTTTCATGGTAAATCTTGGCTAGCCTCATAAGATTAGCTGATGCCAATATACAAAGACAGTCACAGAAGTTGGACCTTGTATAGTATCTGAAAAGGAAATACGATACAAAAAGGAAGTGAACTTCAGAAATTAATATTGTGCTTGATTTGGGGGAAAATGTACCCAGAGAGGTGACATGAACTGTTGTTTGTTTTTTTAAGATTATCCAGATTGTCTTTCATAGAAGATTCATAGAAGTAGGCTCAGAAGGGACCTTATAGATCATCAAGTCTGACCCCCTGCCCTGGGCAGGAGATAAAACTGGGCTCAAATGACCCCAGCTAGGTAGACGTCAAGCCTCCTCTTAAAGACCCCCATGGTAGGAGCCAGCACCACTTCCCCTGGAAGTTGGTTCCAGATCCTAGCCGCCCTGACTGTGAAGTAGTGCCTTTGGATGTCTAGTCTAAACCTACTCTCTAACAACTTGTGGCCATTATTCCTTGTTACCTGGGGGGGGCTAGGGGGAACAAGGTCTCTCCCAAACCCT